CCAATCTAGAATTCCATTATTTCAAGATCTAGGTCTCAATATAATCTAGACTTAAACTCAAGAAAACAAAAGCAAACATGAAATTAAAATGGAGAAATAATAAAAAGCAAGTATGAAATTAAATTAACCGTTGGCGACACTACCATATGTATCATATTATTGAGAATTTGTTATGCTTTTTACATTTTAATTAAAAATAACTATAATATAATTGTATATATATAGATAATATTTTAATTAAAATAGAATTATCATCCCACAATTGAACTATCTTATGATTCAATTGAGGAATAAGTGTCGATTATACGGTAATTATCAACTTTGATTTGTTCATAATGAATTTTTATGATTAATAGTAAAGTAATAATAATCTATTCAAACAAATATCATTTTATATTTGGTAATACTCGAATTAAGTAATAATATTATTTTATATGGTCCAATAATATAAGTTGTTGAGACATTTATAATGGCCTTCCAGTTGTTGCTTCTTTTGATTGCGTCTACGAACAATTTTTTATTCTTACATAAACGACGAGCAGCAAAATATTATAAGACTTTAGACGTTCGAAAAATGAATGCACGTCAAGCTTCCAGATGATGAAACTTAGTTTATTGTTGCAGGTAAACTTTTAATATTTTTTGCCAAAGAATTTGTGCACTAATCCAATTTTTTTTTCTAGTACAAAGTTCACGGAAATTGTGCAAAATATAAAGGAAAATGATAATAAAGTCTCAAAATAATAGTTAAGTCTCAACAAAATTTTTAAAAAATAAGTTACAAATATTAATCCAACCAGTTGTAAACAGGAATCTCAACTATAAATTGACAGTTATATTTAAAATTTAAATGTTTTATTTATAGTTAAAACTCTTGAATTTATGACTATTTAAATTAATATTTACAACTAATTTTTTTAAAAATTTTTGTTAGCCAACTTAATTGTCATAAATTTATTGTTTTAGGACTTTATTATCATTTTCTCATAATATAATAAATTAAGTTATATTAGTTTACATTAAAATCTCTACACCATGAGATAGAGCTTTGTAGACTGTGATATTAAAATTTTCATGGTTAGTTTGGTGAGCTATTCAATCTGTATAGGTATTAATTAGTTCATTCAAAAATGATTGTGATGGTCCAATTATACAAAATAAGAATTCTAATATTCTTAATACGATAAAAAAGGGGGTGATCGTTTGAGTGCTCTCATTGCAGATTAGTGAGGTCGCTCAATAGAGTCACATTGTAAGTTGAGTTTTAGGTATTCTTCTCTCCATGAGGATTTCAGTTGTTATACTTGGATGGAATCTAAAATATTTGATAAATTATTTAATCTAATTTCCCTTTTCATCAAGAACAACAATATATATACCCCACAAGTTGCTGCTTCATTATGATTAATAGACTCATCTATACCTAATTGAAGCTTGAACTTTTCCAAATGATAAATTTTTGAAAACTGGGCACAATTTTGTAGCTTCAAAGACAAGGGTGAAGACAGGGGGACCAACAGTGGTCACAGTACCCCCTAACATTTTAATTTTTTTAATAAAATATAGGGATTATATATAATTGTCACATTATAGAAACAATGAGATATTAAATAAAATTATCATTTTAATTTTATATCAGTCTTTTACACATGTATAGTCCAATTGTTTTAGTAGTTTGAAGATATAATTACTATATAATCTATTTATTTTAACAACATAATATTATGGTTGCTCTTAAAGCATTAATGTCATTTAATTTTGCTTTTATTTTTATTAACAAACTTTGTCAAGCATTGCAATCAAATATATTGAATGCTATGTATTAGAATATAAAAGAAGTCTCACATCTATAGATTAGAAGATGGATCATGGATATATAAGCTTAGAAAATATCTAACTAAATGGCTTAAACTATTTTGATAGAGTATATTATCCTTGAGTATATTTAATATAAAAATCTAAAACTATGCGCTTGATATTTAACGTAAAATTACTTATTCAATATTTATGGAAAAAATGAAATATTTTTCAATTTAATGATAGTTTATATTGAGAAGGAATTTTTTAAAAATTTTATCATATACACGATGATTAAACATTTTTATGCTATGAAAAATCAATGAGAAAAACTTAAAAAAATGAATGTATATATTTTTGTTATATATATATAGAATTGAATATAAATATATACATTGAAATATATATGTTATGTTAGTGATATATATAGATTTAATTTTCTTTTAATTATCATATACTCCCTCTATTAAAAAATATAAGACATTTTTTGAAGAATTAAATATTAAAAAATATAAGACATTTTAGTCTTTTGAGGTGTAATTATTGTTTTTTTTTCAAAAATACTCCTATTGATAAATGACTTTATATTAATTGTAGGGTGTTTAATAAAGGTAAATATAAAAAGATAGGATTAATTTGAAAGTAAGTAACTACTTTATTAGGGGATAAAATTATATTAAAATACCTTAAATTTTTAAATGAAGGAAGTATACTTTATCATCTCAATCTTTCCAATGAATTTTTTTGACTCCGCCCCTATTTGAATACATAAAACACTTAATCACTTCTTTCCGTCTTATTTATAAGACCTGTACGCATGGATACTTAACACAAACTCAATGCAAATTATTCTTCTCGATTCTTTTATGAGCTCCATTTATCTTACATGAGTTAAGAAAGTTTGCTGAAATTAGTTATTTCTTGAAAAAAATTTAAATCACCCTCAATAAAAAAGTTATTGTTTAGAGGAGTTTGGTTAATTAATTAGGGAGTTTTATAGTTAGTTAGGGTCAGTGATACTAGATGGAGAAAATAAAATAGCTCATGGGATTAATTTTATCTTTAAATATCATTTGCTTTAATATTTCCTAACTAAATAATAAACAAACTTCTAACAAATTAAACAACTTCATTTAATTAATGAACTTGATAGTACTTTACAAAGTACATAATTTTAGAGTTTTAAATGTATTAACAATTTAAATAAATTTGTTAATATGTCCTTATTATTGAGGAATCATTGAAGGAGCATTTTCTATACCGTGTTTTAAAAAAGTCAGCGAAGAAAACCGGTGCCGACACTAATTATACTTTTAAATAGCAATATTCTAAGGAATATAATTAAGCACCTGAAATATATGTCTAATGTCTTTTTTTTAATTTTGCCAAAAAATATGTCTAATGTCTAAAAATACGAACCAGTTTTCGTTTCACATTAATTATGGAGAAGACGAAACCCCACTCACGAGTCTAATGAATAAAAAAAAGCAATAAAAAAAAGCGTCCCCATCTGCAAAACTTGCTCTAATTAATTAATAAGAAGCTAATATTATATGGATATATAATACATATGTTGCCGAAATCATTGGGAAGAAAGGTTTGTTGAATAACAATTTTTTAGAAATAATTTATGTAAATCCATTTTGAGCATGGATTATATTGTGGGGAGGGATATGATGACAAAACTTTATATAATAAGCTCAACTAGTTAATTTTTTTTTTGGGCCCTCAAATTTAAAGAGTATTTATAAAGATATTTATAGATTATTCACTAATAAAGTTTTCACATTGGTAGTGAGATTTAAACTTATGATATGACCTTATAGGTTATAAGTCAAATTTGTACTAGCTGAATCAAACTTTATTAATTAACTTTACCCACATTTAATTCCAATAAGTTGATGGCCTGCTTTTAATTTCTATGCAATGCCCTTATTATAATAATTAATTTTAGTAAAGGACAGATTAGAAAGCAACACGTTTTTTTTTTTGGCTATTGAAAGTAACATATTTTTATACAAGTTTAAGATATCAACTATCACTCCTTAAAAATCATTAAATCAATTAGTTTTATCTTATAATTAAAACCAGAAGGGGTGTGTATATATAATATAGAAAATAGAAATATATGCCATTTGGAAGAAAGTAGAATAAGAAGATATAGACTAGATTTCACATTAGAATAAATTATTGCTATTTTCTTTTTGCCAACTATTGCTCTTCACAATTTCCTCATTGTTATAATATACTCCTTATATACCATAAATATAAGGCATTGACCGTTGAGATTGACTAGTGTTTATAATTTTTATTCAACTATTTCCCTACTTGACTTATTATTCCTTAAAAATGGTTTATTGAAATTTCAATTCTCATTATTATTAAGACACTTGCATATACAAGATATTTAATGGTAGAATAATTAAAAAAATATATAATTTTTTTTAAAAATTAAGGTTTCAACTAATTTGTTTATAAAATTGTGAAGTAATTATCACTTTTTTTATTATAGATCATAGTAAGTAATACTTCCTTTGTCCCAAATTATAAGCTAATTTAAGATAAAATTATGCTAACTAACAAAGCTAAATAATCACACATTACATTGTTACTTTTTTAAAGTAAAAATATAAATTAAACTTTTAACAATACCCCCTATTTAATATATTTTAAATCTATAATCATTTCAATTCTTTTTTATTTGAAAAATAATATTAAAAAATATTATTAATAAAATTTTATTTTTACCAGATTCTCTTATATTTTGAAATAATAAAATGCCTTCAATATACGTCAAATTTGAGACGGAGGTGCAATTAGTTTATGTCTTTTAAAATAAATAAATAAATAAAAGATGAGGAAAAGATCAAAAAGACGTGTTCTCCAAGACGCGCTTTTGCGTTCAAATTGTCTCTTATCAAAGCTATGTTTGTCCTCACCAACTCCTACCCTTTGACTTTGTCCATGGCACACTTCGCTGGAAAGAATTGACACAATCAGAACATTAGTCTCAATTTTAATGTTAAAAACAATATTAAATGAATTTCTGCAAAACAATAAAAGGCAGCTGCTTCATATTGATGAAGCCGGTTCAAATTTTGAAGCATTATATACTTCGAGGGATTAGTTAATGCATTAAACTATAATAAATTTTGGTAGCCACGGTCAGGTGCTGCAACTATATAAAGGGTTGGATAATCCATGTTGAATCAAGCAAATTAAACACAGAAAGAAAGAAAGTTGTAGATAACTAGAAGAGAAGATCATGGGAAGCCCGATGGGGCCAAGGCAGTGGCCTCAACTGATCACACTGGCAATGGCACTTTGCCTAGTTGCAATCAGTGTTAGTGCTGATTATAGCCCTTATGCATACCAATCTCCACCTCCGCCATATGTGTACAAGTCACCTCCTCCTCCGTCTCCCTCACCACCACCTCCTTATTACTACAAGTCTCCCACCTCCACCCACCCTCTCCATCACCACCTCCACCATATGTGTACAAGTCACCTCCTCCTCCATCTCCCTCACCACCACCTCCTTATTATTATAAGTCTCCGTCTCCGCCTCCACCATCTCCGTCACCACCTCCACCATATGTGTATAAGTCACCTCCTCCTCCATCTCCCTCGCCACCTCCAGCATATGTGTATAAGTCACCTCCTCCTCCATCTCCCTCACCACCGCCTCCTTATTACTATAAGTCTCCACCTCCACCATCTCCAACACCACCACCTCTATATGTGTATAAGTCACCTCCTCTTCCGTCTCCCTCCACCACCACCACCTCCTTATTATTATAAGTCTCCACCTCCGCCTTCTCCATCACCACCGCCTCCGTATGTGTATAACTCACCTCCTCCTCCATCTCCATCACCACCCCTCCAATTATTATAAATCTATAAATCTCCACCCCCACCTTCTCCATCACCACCACCTCCATATGTGTACAAGTCTCCACCTCCACCATCTCCTTCACCTCCTCCACCATATGTATACAAGTCTCCCCACCACCCCCATCTCCATCACCACCACCTCCATATATTTACAAGTCCCACGCCCCCGCCTCCACCATCTCCTTCACCACCCCCTCCTTATGTCTACAAGTCCCCACCTCCACCATCCCCCTCACCTCCTCCGCCGTATGTTTATAAATCACCACCACCTCCATCTCCTTCACCACCGCCTCCATGTATACAAGTCCCCACCTCCACCATCAACTTCTCCTCCACCTTACTACTATAAATCACCTCCTCCGCCTCCTCCTCATGTGTACTAGTGATCCTCTGGTAAAGTTTAATAAGCTTGCTCTTATCAACCCTATTTGAATTGTTTTGGTGATAATTTTATACCCATTATTTCTGTTTGTATTCAATACTTTCATTGATAATAGGGTTTACAATAAAGTGAATATCTTATAATGCATCCCTTGTTGTGATTATGCATGTAATACCATTTGTACAATGTTATCGAGTGAATAATACAGAAGAGTTTGATTTCTTGATTTATTTCTATATATGTCAAATAGTATTATCAAAAAGGCCTACGAAAGAACTTATTTTTAGTATTTGCAGCGCTTCAAAATTAATTTTATAATTTGATGGATTAATAATGGTTTTTATTTTCTTTAATCATACATCAACCCCTCCCAACAAGATTCAAGGCCTGAAAAATTTAAATTTGAATGGTAAATAATCAAAATTTGCCAAAAAGTGTTAATCAAAATGAAAATGTACTTACAGATCGATCATTTTGCCTATATTATATTATTAAATAACAAAAACAATTTCTTTAGAGAAAATTGCTAGTTACCCAATCAAATTGGAAAGTAAAAGTTTGATTAAGGTTTCAACAAGTTCACTTGTGCGTGTTCAAACATTTGCCAACTAACCCAATCAAATTGGCCGGAAAGTAACACTTATTGAAACGTCAAGTTTTAACAATTCTATTTGATATTATAACAAGTGCCCTCATGCATTTTCAAACCTATTAATTTGTAACAGCAAGCCTTACAAATTAACAAATAAAAGTTGCTAAAATTTGAATTAGTTCAGTTAATATTTTAATAAGTCCACTTTTGCATATTCAAAAATATTGACAAGTGACTCTTACAAAGAAAGAAGACGAACTTTAGGAGTCCAATGAAAAAAAAAGGAAGAAAGAAGGTGTCCTCATCTGCAAAACTTGCTCTTATTAATTAACACTTGTCGAAATCATTAGAAAGAAAAGTTTGTTACTAATAAGTGGTTCATTCTCCATCAAGATGTTATTGCTATACATGTTGTAATTATAACCATTGGTAACAAAGAAAAGCTACATTTAAAGAATGCAGAGTTCACAATCAAAATTAAATTGGTAAGGACCATCTTCTTAAACCTTAAATAGGTTTCTGAAGTTTGTTTAATGGTAGTCTCTCTCTCTCTGATCTTGGATGCTTATCAATTATAGTTTAGGTGGATATGAATGCAAGGTCTCATTGAGGAATATAGTCATCATCCGAGTAAAGAGATCTGCATATGACTTTCCATATATTTCTATTCATTTTTGATCCAGACATAAGAATCAAAGCTTTGAACATCTTTTCCAAACAATAAATTTTTGACTCGGGTTCAGTTTCGTACGTAGCTTTGGAGATGACACAACTTTCCAATACATAAACACTTCATTACTTCTTTCAATCCTATTTATAAGACTTGTACATGATGGATCCTTGATACTAACTCAGCGGAAACTATTCTTATCGATTCTTTTATGAGCTCCAACTATCTTGTGTAAGTTAAAGAAAGTTATTTAAAATTAGTTGTTTCTTGAAAAATATTTAATATCGCTGACCCTAACTAACTATAAAGTTCCCTCATTACTTAACCAAACTCCTCTAAACAATAACTTTTAATTAGGGAAATATCTTTATAGGTCTTTATAGTTTACAAAAAATTTTAATCAGGCCCTATACTTTCAAATGTTAGGGTCGTTAATCCCGCCCCACTAACACTATCTAAAAATTGCTGATATGGCTAATGGTGGATGATGTGGCTTCCATATTTAGGGTTGTTAATCCCTCCCCGCTAACACTATCTGAAAATTGCTGATATGGCTAATGGTGGATAATGTGGCTTGCATATATCTCCACACAAGCATCTAGGTGGATTAAATGGCAAGCACGTCAACTCAGAGGGAGAGAAAAAAATTGAAATAGAGAGCTACGAAGTTGGAGCTATGTTGTAATGTTCTTTTACTTATACCATATACTTAAACATTAAATGAATACTACCATAGTAATGAAAACCAAACCAATCATTTAAGAAAATATGCTATGGTAGAAAGAGTTAAACATAGTTGGAGAAATCAAAAAAAGTGGCTAAGTATAAAATCTTCTCAAAATTGAGATCCTAAGAATCATTTAAATTCAAAAGTAAGTTTAGAGGGTCATTTAACCCTTATAAATCAAATTAAAGTAGAAAGCATTTGGGATGTATGAGAATCAAATAGACTTGAAAACAATGCAAACCAGGTCAAAAGAGTAAAAGACATCACAAAAGTACAATCTGTCATGGTGAACGTGTGTTTGACATGCACCACTGTATAGGCATCATCTGTCACAGTGCACCTATCATTACAACATCTTGTTGTCATGGTAGCTCTTGGACTCCAACTTCTAGCATGCACAACGTTTTACTTTAACCTCCAACTGAGGTATTTAGGCTCCTACATGTAGACAATCTCATGATCTAACCAATAGCTTTAGTTTCACACAAATCCAATATCATATAGAGAATTTGAATACCCTAGGGCCACATTTACACTTTTTCATACTTATACTCTCAACTAAATATCTAAATCTCCCACCACAAGCCATTAGCTCTCTTTAGGCCTTGAACCATATTCAATGGACATTAATGAACTAACTCAACAACCATAATTCAAGGTAGGGACATGAATTTTCTCAAATCATACCAGTACTAAATCCAAACTTTCAAAGAGTCTAACATAACAAAATACACTTGCATAAATCATTTGACTTGCCAAAAGTCAACATTGGGAGCAAACCCCTACTATGGGCCAAATAAACCAAAAACGCCAATAATAATTCATAAGCAATGGCCATATGCAAGCATAATGTATGCATGACCCCTAGGTGGAAATATAAATTTAGTTCCACAAAATATAGAGACATTGCAATTAAGTACTCAATCCCTAGCTTTAGAAGCCTCCCGTTTGCTCTTAACTTGATCTTTGCTTGTAAAATGTTAAATAACAGGAATGAAATAAACATCTCAATAATTAGAGAACTAAAACTCAAGTACATATAAGTGGTGGCAATCAATGAGCATGCAAAGCAAGCATGTTTCTAACGATATTTCAAGTACTCAAGCATGTAATTAACACAAACTATGATACGCATAATGAATGAACCATCTTTGTTCCTCTCCTGATTCCTTCTGACAGATTCCATGGGTTTCAAATATGAATAAGACTAGCACATGTGACTAGACTAGTCCAAGATCTCTAATTATGAGGGGTCATTCAGCCAAAGGTTCACCCACTCACTCTCAGACCATATGAATTCTCCCTCCCTTTCTTGAATCTCAAGAGTGTCATGATGGTTGTAACACTAAAAAATTTAATGAGGATTAACTAGATTAATCAAGGGTAAAATGGTAAAAAGTATATCAATTAAGTTAATGACATTTTAGAATCAGTTGCTAGTGGATTAATTGGACCCAAGTTTTGTAGTTTAGCTACTTTTCTTTCCTCAGTATCTTTTGGATTTTCTTTCACAGAACTCTGTTTCATGTGATTTGGAGTCAACTTTGCACCCATTTTTTACTATATATGTTTATCTTGACTGTCAAATACTATTCAATCCCAATTGTATGGTAGGATAAAACTAAACGAATGATTTATTACATGCCTAACACGCCATCATATGCAAATGCTTTTTGGGCTTGAAACCATTTGCACAGGGAGTTGTTTTTTCCTTCTTTTTTTTGGGGGCTCTGTTCACTTTTTAAAAAATAATAAAAATAAGATTTAAACATGTATACAAAAATATGATACATTACTGATTTTTTATATTCTGATTTAATGAATTTCACAAATTTAATCACGTTATCCTGGTTTCTATGCCCTTTTCCAATTTTCATACTCAAGACATGAACAGGTTGATTTTGCACTTATGCTTTTAATTTTGTGTTTAGCCATTCTTGTGCATGTTATGACATGCATACAAGCATGGGACAACCCTAAAAATAAGAATGGGTATACGATGCCAAAACATTCACAAGTATGAATGTTTTGTTATACCTTTTCACTCTTCCTATAATCCGTATTCATTGTACCTTATACAAGTAATTTGTGGTGCAAGAGAACCTTCACAAGAAAAAGGTTGGACTCTTGTGGTGACTATTAAATCATCCTAACAATGTGAAGGAGTGCAAATTAAAGCCATGTCTTTATTAATAGGATTTCAAGAAAGCAAGAGGAAATAAAATGACTAATTCAGTCATGGGTTGATTTTAGAATAGAACTTGATTGATGATTATGTATAAACTTTTTGTGACACATGTTCGTTAATTTTGTATACTTAACTTTATAAATGCCAATATGAATGATTATTACAAGTATGTTTTTCTTGTGAATGGTAACTACAAATTTACATGTTTACCACACATTGACAAGTGGCCAATAATGATTGATAAGTGGTTTGCCGTGATTGACAAGATACATACAACAATTTATTACATATGTGACAAAATTGCATGTTAAATTGGAGTACTCTATTGACAACTTGACGACAATCATTGACCATAAGGCAAATGCATTGACAAGAGTGAGGCACCTATCAGTGATAAGTGCAAATTTATTAGGTGCAATAGTTTCATTTAAAACTAAACACGTTATAAGGCATGTCTTTATTGACAATTGGTTAACACTCATTGACCACAAGGCAAAAGCTATTGACAAGAGTAAGGTATCTGCTAGTGACAAGTACGAATTTATTAGGTGCAACTATTTCTTTTAAAACTAAATAAGTTATAGGACACTTTATTGGCAACTTAACAACATCCATTAACAACATGGCAAAGGCTAATGACAATTCAGGCATTTGACAGTGATAAGTGATAATTAATTAGGTGTAATACTTTCCTTTCAAATTGAATAAGTTACAAGACACTATTGACAAATTGACAACATCCATTGACCACATGGCAAATGTTAATGACATGGGAGGCATCAAACCAATGACAAGTGATAATGATTAGGTGCAATAGTTATCAATTTATATTAATATACAAGGGGTACTTTATCATTGATATACAAATTTATATCATTAACAAATGTAATAAACTGGTTATAATGCAAAATATAATAAATGTGGGGTTGTTTGCTTAGTTTGATCCTATAATATGAATTATATTTGCAAAAGTTCCAAAATAATATGCATATTTATGAGTTACATTACTTAATTAATAATAGACCTCCATAATAATTTTGCCTTAAGACTTCA